TGGCTTTTAATCCCCTTTCTCCTGCTCTTCCAGCCTGCTGCTTTGGGCTTCCCTGAGTTGTCTCTCCTCACCTGTATCCCTGGGGCTGACTGCTCTTCTGTCCAGGTTCCTGGCTTTTATCCCCTTTCTCCTGCTTTCCTGTCCTGCTGCTTTGGGCAGGCCTGAGTTTCCTCTCCTCACCTGATCCTTTCGGCTGATTGCTCTTCTCTCTGACTTCCTGGCTTTTAATCCCCTTTCTCCTGCTCTTCCGGCCTACTGCTCTGGGTGGGCCTGAGTTTCCTCTCCTCACCTAATCCCTTCGGCTGATTGCTCTTATCTCTGGCTTCCTGGCTTTTAATCCCCTTTCTCCTGCTCTTCCTGCCTGCTACTTTGGGCATCCCTGAGTTGTCTCTCCTCACCTGTAACACTGGGGCTGATCACCATTAGCCACTAAAAATGCTACATAATGCAAAATCTCAGTGGCATCCAACGTAAGTATTTCTCTCTCACTCACACATTTAGGGGTTGACTGGGGTATCTTTGTTCCACATGTATCATTCCCAGGCCCAGGCTGAGGGGAAGCATCTACCCTGGGTAAAGAAGCATAAGAGGGCAAGCCCAAATGCACAAGCACATTTCAGTCCGTAGACAGTTCAAACCTATCCTAAGATACTGTGGAAGTAAAGGCCTAGCAATCTGCTTCCATGAAAACTCTTTGGAGCAGTTCTACTCTGTAACACATAAGGTCACTGTGAGTCAGTGGCAACCAGCAACCAGCAACCAGCAACAATTCATTGTATGTCTGCTAACACCTCATTGGCTAGAGCAAGTCACATGGCTAAGCCCAAAGCCAAGGGGCAAGGAAGTACACTTAGCCCACAATGAGTCCATAGCGTGGATGTGGATGTACCATACTACCAGAGGGGAGTCAAGAATAGAACTGATAATCCAATCAACTCCTCAAGTTATGGTTTCTAAAATTACAACCATTGTGGCCTAGATAAGGAAATCTTGGGTCTGTTACTCAGTACCAACGCAAACAAAAACAATGGCTCTCACATCAATTCCAACTCATGGCAGTCCAATGTGTTTCAGAGGAGGACTGCTCCACAGGGTTTTCAATGGCTATAAATCAGTCCTTAAATCAGTCACTTCAGCTCTGCACACTTCAAGAGCTGAATTTGGGAAACAAGAAACATCATTCCTGTTTAAAGGTCATTGAAGTAATTGGATAAAAGAATGGATGCAGTGAACTCACCTTGTAAGCTGTTGACATGGAGAGTATTTGAGTGAGCAGATCTTCTTAATTGATGCAAGCATTTGGGGAAAGCTCTGGCTCCTTCCGGGCTCTGATAGCTGCTTCCTCTGGAGTCTTGGAGTCCTCAAGTCCTCTGGATTTCTACCTTCAGGGAAATTTTCTTGACTGTCATCACCACCAGACTGAGAACTTCTTCAGAAGAGGACATTTGTCTGTCTTGCAGAGCTTCATTTTCCCCAATCCTAGTATTATCATATAAGAGTCCCTGGAGAGTAAAAATGGTTAAGTGCTGGTTAGTGGTTCAAACCCACCTAGACATGCCTTGGAAGACATGCCTGGCCTGGAAATCTGCTTTCAAAAGGCCATAGCCTGGAAAACTCTGTGGAGTAGTTCTACTCTGCACAAATAGGCTCACCATGAGTCAGATCAGCTTGTTTGCAGCTAATAACAAGAGCAACATCCTTGGCACTTAATAGCTTCTCAGAAATTCTTTATCAAGTGAGTTAGCTTATGAGTAATGAGGGAATGCAGAAAATAGTGGATGAATGAAGAGATAAGGGGAAGAGGAAGAGGAAGGGAGAGAGGCTATGAGGGAGGAAATGAGTGGATGATGGAGGAAGTGAGGAAATCCAACAAGGACCCTCTCTTTGGCTTCAGGAGCTGGGGACCCAGAGCCAGACCTCTGGATCATTCAGCCTCAGGAGCTGGTGTCTGTGACCATTGGAAACACTGCTTTCCTGAACTGCACAGTGCTTGGAAACGGTCCCCCAGGACCCATCAGGTGGTTCCGGGGAGCTGGTCTGAGCCGGGAAGCTATTTACAACTTTGAAGGCATCTCTCGCCTCAATGTGACAGCAATCCGGGCCTCTGGCAATGACTTCAGCATTCTCCTGGAAGATGTTTCCACTGAAGATGAAGGCACCTACTACTGTGTCAAGTTTCAGAGGACACTCAACAGGCAATACCTGTCTGGGCAGGGCACCAGGCTGAGAGTGCAAGGTGAGAGGGGGAACTCACAAGAAAATTTTCGCCATGTCCCAAACATGCCAATTATTCTCTGCTTCAATTCCCCCGCATTAGCTGTTCCCTCTACCTGGAAAAGGAGTTCTGGTGGCATATTGCCTAAGGCATTTGACTGCTATCCAGAAGGCTGGCAGTTCAAACCCACCAGCCACTCCTCAGAAGGAAGATTGGGCAATCTACTTCCGTAGTGATACTGCCTCAGAAACCCAAGGAAGGGTCACTATGAGTTGGATCCAACTCCACAGCAGTGAATTTGGTTTTATATAATGTATGTATGTATGTATATATGTGTGTATGTGTATATATATATATATATACACACACATATATATATACCTGGAAATTACCTTGTAAACTTTTCTTTTTCTCTGGAGAACTCCTACTCATCCTTCAAGGCCCAGGGTAAATGGCACCTCTCTGTGAAACCTCCTCCCCACAGGCAAATTTAGTCTCTCCTGATTCTGGGCCCCAACTGCACTTTGTATAGCCCACTAATGATTCAACAAACATCTACTGAGTGTCTGTTGAGTGTCCAACACTGTGCCAAGTGCTGGGGACAATAAAATAAGTAAGACATTGTCCCTATCTCAGAGATGTTTAAGTAGAAGGTCTAAATAATCCTTCAAAGTTGCAAAGTTTCGCTTCTGGCCCTCACCCAGGTAAAAATGGGCAGACTCGTCTCAGCCCCCAGGTCCTAGGACAGAGGATGGGGAAGCGACAGGAGGCTAAGGAAAGGGGAAATGTGAGAATGTCCCTTTCCCCTTGCAGCAAAATTCACCTCCCACCAAGAGGCTGAATTCACCAATGGTTCTTCAGACAGGGTGTCTTCAACAGGTGAGTATACCTACCTCCAGTGGAGTTTACCCACCCCACTCATCCTTATAGGCAAGGTGGGCCACAAATGGTTTGAGTTGGGAAGTGAGCAGTCCCAGACTTCCAGTGACCATCTGCCACCAAAAACAGTTCCCAGAAATCCATTTCAACCACAGAATTGAGCACCCAGAGTAAGCAAAGGAAAGAATTTTCTAACAGTGAGAGTTGTCCAGTTGTTGCATGGGCACTTTTACTTGACAAGTAGTGAGCTTCTCACCATTCAGGGTGTAGGGATATACTGGGAGATCATGAATAACAGTGCTGAAGGACACGGGTTGGCAGCCAGGACTGGACTGAAGTCTTTCTAGCTGTGTTATCTGGACTGGTTGCCTCATGCCTTGAGTCTCTGATTTCGTACTGTGAACTGGGGGACACTGGGGTCAAAGAGCCACCCTCGTGCATGGTGTGCAGATCCAATGAGATCACTCATGCCAAATGCCCAGAACAGTGCCTGGTATATTAGTTTTAACCCTCAGAGATAGAGGAAACCAGAATAGTTTCCCTTGTGCTCAGCCCTGTGTCCATCAATCTTGAGAGCCAGATCACCTGAGTCCTATCACTTCTTTGACATGCATGGCCCTGAGCAAATTTCTTCCCACTCTGAGTCTATGTAGGGTTGATATGAGGATTAAATTATATAATTGGGAAGTGATTAACTCAGGGCCTGAGACAGAGGGGTTGAACAGCCAATAAATCAAAGCTGTTTTTATTATTATCAGCAGTGAAAGAGGCTGTCAAGATGATTGCTGTCAGGTGGAACACAGGCCTAGCCCTCTTCTGGCCCAGGGCAAGAGAGGGAGGAGGTCTTTGATCTCCTCCCCTACTCTAGAAAGGATGTGGTCCTAGAAGTTATACAGCATCTGGCCAGAGCCCACACATGGGGGCACCAACACGGGGCCCTAAGGTGTGGTCTGTGGGCCACTCACGGGGATTCCGCCTGAGCTCTCCCCTGCATCCCACAGGCCTCTTATCTACACTCTTATTTGCGGTCCTGGGGCTGAAGGCAGTGATGTTGGCTGCACTCCTGCTGGCCCTGGCTGCCCACCGGAGAAGACATTGGCAAGAAGGCTTCAGGATCCCAGGCTCAGTAGAGCTGTGCACATCTCATCCTGGGGCAAGGGTCAGGGGTGAAAGGTCAGCCCTAAAAGGGGTCCTCTGAGATGAAGTGGAGCCAAGGGCACCCCAACCATTTCTCTTCCTCCAGTTCTAGTCCCCAGGTGGTCACAAAGTCTTATGATACACTCCTGGGTCTCTGTGCCTGATTTCAGTTCTCCTGGTGAAATTCCCAACTTTGCACTAGTCTTTCCTCTAATGTGTCCGCCTTTCACCTCTCAGCCTGTTTAAGCGCTCCTTGTCCCTTAAGGCTTCACCCAGGTCTCTCCTCAATGCCCTAGTTCCCTCTGCAGCCCTTTCAGAAGCATTCTACCCTTTCTCCATCTCTCCATATCTTTCTTGTCCTTCAAGACTCACTTCAGAGTCCTCTTCCTAGAAGATTTCCCTGAGCATCTCTGAGCTCAAACAGCAGACCACCTGTGACCCTTTATTCCTCCTCCCACCTTCTTTCCTCCTCACTATGGTTGACTGAAGTGGCTGAAATAGGTAGAAAGCAGGTTTGGCCACTATAACAAAGACCTTAAACAACAGGGGCTCCGGTGGTGTAGTGCCTCAGGCATTGGACTGCTAACCAGAAGGCTGGCAGTTCAAACCCACCAGCTACTCCTCAGAAGGTAGATTGAGCAATCTGCTTCTGTAGTGATACTGCCTCGGAAATGCAAGGAGGGGTCGCTATGAGTTGGATCCCACTTGACAGCAGTGAGTTTGGTTTGGTTTTTGGTTAAGGCAGAGAGGCGGAGCTACGGTGGCATAGTGCCTAAGGCATTTGATGCTAACCAGAAGGCTGGTGGTTCAAACCTACCAGACACTCCTTAAAAGGAAGGTTGGGCAATCTGCTTCTGTAGTGATACCTCCTAGAAACCCAAGGAGGGGTCATTATGAGTCGGATCCGATTCCATGGCAGCATGTGCATGCTTCAAGGTAGAGAGGAGTCCCTGCAAATGGTTAACTTGCTCAGCTGCTAACCCAGCTCCTAACCAAAAAGTTGGAGGTTTAAATAGTTTAACTCCCACGATTGGCAGTGTCTGAAGACTTTTTCGGTTGAGGCAACTTGGGTGCGCTACCGCCATCTAGTGGCTAAACTTCCCACTACACAGGACAGCCCACGCACAACAAAGAATTGTTTTTGTTACGTGCTGTCGAGTTGGACCAACTCATAGCGACCCCTCCTTGGGTTGCCGAGGCAGTTATTACTACAGAAGTAGATTGCCCAACCTTCCTTCCGAGGAGTGGCTGGTGGGTTTGAACCACCAGCCCTCTGGTTAGCAGTCAAGTGCCTTAGGCACTATGCTACCAGAGCGCCTACAATAAAGAATAGTTTGGCCAAAGTGCCAGTGGAGTTCCTGGATGGTGCTCAGCTGTAACGTACTCATCTACCAACCAAAAGGTTGGAGGCCCGAGTCCACTCAGAGGAGCCTCTGAAGAAAGACCTAGTGGTCCACTTCTGAAAACCAATTCTTGAAAACCGCATGGAGGTCTATTCCAACACACGTGGGGTCGCCATGACTCACAATCTACTAGACTGCAACTGGTGGCGGAAAAACATCAGTAACGCCAAGGTTAAGAAGCCCTGAAGTAGGGAAATGTGTCCAGGCCCAGGAGTCAGACTCTTGTCTTCCAATCCCGAAGGCTGTGAGCCTTTCCCAAGGTCATCTCACCTCCCAGAACATCAAAGATAATAATGAAGATTTTTCTGCATTCCATAAAAACCAATTAAATTAAACATTTACTGAGGGCCTACTATGTGCTATGTGCACTGCGTACACTCAATGAATGCTACTTCCCTTTTCTTTTTCCTTGAAAATATTTATTGTTGTTGTTGTTGTTTGTTATATGCCGTCGAGTCTAGCACCTAATATGTGGGGATTCATCTGGATATCTTTGGTTATAACCAACTTGAAAGAACCTAAGCCGAAGGGGACCTTAATTTAGTCTGAGAATTGAAAAAACCATTGAATTACCGGATATCAAAAGGGAAAGGTGTGGTAGGCTCCCAAAAGATATCCATGTCCTACATCCTGGGACCTCTGAGTGTTAGCCTACATGACAAGATAGGTGTTTACAGATGTAATTAAGTTAAGAGTTTTGAGATAAACAAATACCTGGACTACCCCCAGTGTCCTCTAAAAATAGTCAGAAGTGTGTTTATAAGAGAGATACAGAGAGGGAGAGTTGACATGTGGTAATGTGACCACGGAGATAGAGATTGCAGTGATGTAGGCATGGTCAAGGAATGCTGGCAGCCTTCCTTTTATCCTCACCCAAAAGGGGAAGAGGCAAGAACAGATTGCCCACTAGAGCCTTTGGAAGAAAGGCTGTGCCAACGCCTGGATTTCAGCCCAGTGAAGCTGATTTTGGACTTCTGGCTGCCAGAACTGTGAGACAGTAAATTTCAACCAGCAAGGTAAGCATGTGATTAGGGCATCAACAAAACCAGTTGTCCAAAACAAAGAGCCATAGATGTCAAGCAGACAGGAAACAAGAAAAAGTTAGTGTCACGGTGGAAGGGAACTGGGAGGGCACCAAATAGAACTGATACCAGCTCCAGTTCATGAGAATATGTTGGCCAGAAATAAAGTTCATGCAGGGTCAGGAGGGTGCCCACATGCAAGGTGTTTAAGCTATGAGGCTTCTACCACTTCAATACTTTTGTTGACATCTGTCTCCTATAATCCCCTATAATGTAACTGAAACTCCTTAGCTCAGCAAGTCTCTTGAGAGTATACTGTTTCTTTCTAATAAACAAGAGGTAGGGGTGAGCTGTCAAGTCTAATTCTTGCTACACTCCCCCAACATGCAATTGGATCCAACATGAACGGTTACTGGGCAAGGATATATTACATTAATAGATAACAGGTCCCTAATCCATTTTGAGAAAAGCATCTTGTACATCTATGTCTGCTGATCCAGCTATTCCAGCCAGGAGGGCCAGAGCAAAAACGGCAAGGAGGCCACATGTTCTGACCTCCTCTAATCCCACAAAAGGAAGAAAGGATTACCAGCAGTAA